GTTCTATGATAATTTCACTTCTAGCACTGTTATATTCCAATATCGAGGGAGCTTCTACATGGCGCATGGAAGTAATTGATGAGCTTGTCAAATTTGGAAAAGCTTTCTATAAGAACTTATTGAAACGTTTAAAGCTGAAGAAGAAGCAGCATTTAAACATAGTGGATCTACCGGATGTTATGATGCTTGGTGCATTCCGAGCAACCATAAAGAAGCATCCATTTCTTTACACAGGACATGTGACTAACTGCAAGTCGTACCTCGAATCTCAGCTAACGTCTGCTGTTCGCGACCTTTTCGCAAGCAATTACGATGCGGCTCTGTTGCAGATTGACAATTCTGTGTTGGCCGTTTGGCGAGACTTGGAATACTACTATGTTCTCGATCCTTTTAGACGTGGCAAAGCAGGCCAGGTACTAGACGCAGAAGATTTCCTAACCAAAGGAGTGGCATGTCTGCAGATGCATTCAAATTTTGAGTCTTTGTGTAGGACACTCTTTCAAAAGGCGCTGAAAATGCGGCGTGGCGGCAAATTTTTCGTTCATGCCATAAATATCGGCTGTATAAGACCGATGCTGTCATCGGCAAATATAAAAAATAAATATCCACGTTTACAGATAGCCTATCCAAAAGTCCTAAGCAAGGCGGAGCAGGATAGACGCCAGTCCAAAAAAGGCAAGGGTAAGAAGAAACTGGGACGCACTTACAGTATACAGTCTATACCAGATGAAGATCGCATACCCGAGTTCGAGGACGCCGATGTGGTCGGTGCTGTATTGGATGAAATTATATGCGAAGCCATCGAACGCATGACAGAGCCCGCTCCCAGCCGTATGCACTTGTACAAGCAAGCAGATAAGGTGCTGCTACGTTCCGACAAAGAGTATTTGGAGGGTCTGCGTTATAAGCTGATCCACGGTGAAGACTATGACAATGTCTATACAGAATTTCAGAAACAGCCAGAGCCTCCACAGCGTCCATTGACACTAGAAGAAGAGCTGGAGATACGCACTAACTTTGAGATGCTGCCTGACAGAACGTGGGTTGTGTTAGGAAAATCGTATATACCCTTGGAGGAGGACGAATCCAGCAAATTGAATGGTCTACTCTCCACTTTGGTAGCTACTGCACTAAGCGCGAAGTATAATATTTCTACATGGAACAAGGAACTCGTTGATTACGCAGTGAAGTCATCTAATAGCTTTGGCGAAGAATTCTCTAACTATGAGTCGACACTGAGTGCTTTTCTCTCGAAGAAGATGCCGAAGATAACAATTGGTCAAAACATTTATATGCTGCAATTGCAGAGGATTATACAAAGTTCGGTGACGCGTAATCTGCGACAAATGCTGCTGGAAAGTCTGATAACATACACTCGTTTGATTGTCATATGCCAGATGTTCTCATGCCTGATTGTAAAGCGGTACAACTTCTTGTACATGTTCATCGGTTTTCCATGTACGCCAGTGGGTTATCGCAAATTCGGTTCAGGTCCTGGTTGTTTGCTAAGGTTCGTAGAGCTCGATTCTCTTTTACGGCGCATAGAGTTCGGTTGCAATCCGCAAGGTTGCGAAATAACCAATTATGTGGCGGTAGCCATAAAAGTCTTGGACGTGACGAACGTGCCACCTAAACGATATAGAAAATGGCCACCAGATGTTGAGGACGCCATATACGCGACTGAGTTTGATCGCAAGCAAAAAATTGATAGATTACGTATGGATAAGATTCGCTTCCTCGACAGGGAACTGCGCAAAGAGAATGAACGTATACAGCGCTTCCTCGAGGAAAAAGAGCAGAGAATAGCAGCACGCACACAGAGAAGCAAACCGAAAGGTACGTACTACGATTTACTGTATGTGTGTATTCAAAGCAACTCTCTACAAAATTTCGGTGGGTTTTACACTTGAGACGAATTTGACTCAACAATAAATTAAGATCATACGAAAGATTTCGTGCGATAAAATGCGATGATGATAGAGAAAAAAGTGTTAACGTTTCACGGCCAAATTACTCCTCCAAAGTATAATCAATAAATTGGCTAATCCCTAAAGAATTTAAAACTACGATTGTTCTACCGGTAATCGTAGTAAGATGGTCTTACTTACTAGGAAACATCAGTAATTTTAGATAGAAAGCTAATGCGTAATGGCATGGCTCCAAGTATATTTTCACCACTAATTTTTCACATGGTGTGAATCTGTCAAAATCAGCAGTCGAAGCGAGGCCAGTAATGTACCGATTTTTCACGAAAGGGTCGAAGCTTGACCAAACAGTCAGCTCACCATCAACCATAAAGTTACGTTCTCAGATTCGTGTAATATATCTCAAGTAGAGCTGGCTGCCCTCAAAGAAGTTGTCGATACGGCGCTCCTGTGTGAGGCTCATGATAGCTCAGCGAGCTTTGGGTGAACTCTTTCTGTTCTAGATACGATCAGAGGCGGCCATGGGCAGGTCATTATCGCAAGATTATAAATTTCATCCAGTCCAACTAAATACTTTCTTCCTGGCTATAAAGCCTACGTGAGGCTGAAAATCAATCTTTTGGCTCGCAATTCAGCACTAACTCTGAGGAGCTCTCTGGGACTGATTTTAAAGCTTCTGAAATGCCCAAGAACGCCTTCAAACTCGAGGCATCCTTCTCAACTAATTTAGCTTGTAGTTGTTTTTTATGAAAGATTTTGAAACCATTAAAATTCTTTTTTATCGTAGTCTCATTACATTCGTCTCAAAAATGTACCATCTGAGTCTGGCGAAGGCCATCGGCAGAGAAAATTCGTTGTACTATCCTCATACTCCAAACAAGATGTACACAGTGGATCTTCGATGGTGCATATGGTGACCATATGTCGTCCCCATGTATTGTACCCCGTAATCAGTCCTATCAGGGCTCGTAAGATCACTCATTCTCAGAAGGAATTTTTCTAGCACCCTTTCAGGAAACACTTCCGACACGATCTTCAAAAGCGACACAACTCTAAATTACACGTTCGTCAGGAATTCGGAAAACTATTTCGCAGCACATGCTAATCATATGTGCAAGAGAGACTTTACTTTAGGTTTTTTTAACCAAAAAAAGGTAAATAAAAGCTCTGTGTACGTTTTAGTGCATAATTTCAAAAATGCCAAATTTAGAGTTGTGTCACTTTTGAAGATCATATGCGACTTGGATATTTTTTTGGTTTTTTTGTTTATGAGATCCTTGATGTACCCGATCGTTCCCGATTGGACGCTGCAGAGAACCGCAGTTCGCCAATTCATCAGCCAGTTCGTTACCTTGAACACCGTAGTGTCCTGGCACCCACACAAATTCAACATTCCTGGACCATCTTGGAAGACGAGCGAGCGATTTTCAAGGACTTTAGAGCAGCTTGGCAGTCACTGCAGATACTGATTTTATGTCCGTGTCATCTTTCGCCAATTATCCAGTCTGCCAAAGCAGTAAAGCATCTAAAGTTACCGTCCACATGCCATCCAGCTCCAGTACCGTTTTCAGCCTCTGAGCCGCCGGTATAGAAAGTGTATGGATCTCCCTTTTTAGGGAATCTAACGACGTATTTTATTCCAAAGGAGACTTCTGGCATCAGTTTGTTATTATGTGCCAATAACAAGGGGTATTGCTCTGGCAACGTTCTCATCAACTTTCTGTGCCCAGAACTCCGATCGGCCTGCCACACAACAAAAGAGTGCAGTCGAAAAATCGTTTTCATTGCCTCCTCTTGGATCGCTAAATATTTACAGAGGCGGCAAATTCAACAAACCATTAAGCGCCGGTCCTGACGTTGTACTCATGCCCGTACGTAACTATTGGCCTGATTAAAACTATGTCAGGTCTTACTAACGATTCATCGATACTGTCTGAAAACTTTCAGCGCTCGATTTAAATTCAGCTCGACGTGAGTTTTCCATGTTAGCTTCGTGTCTAGAGCTACCCCTAGTTATTTCACATCCACGGAAAGGCTTTGGTTTACGCCTCTAAGCCCTGGAAGGTTTAGACCTTTCAATTTTCTTTTCCGCGTAAAAAAGACTACGGTTTTCTTACTACCAAGGCCTACTATGCGTCGAGTTGTAAGTGATTTAAAGAAACGGGTTTGAAGGGACTGACTTTTGAAAAATCTAAATCATGTATCTTAAATTAGTTTCTTTAAAATATTGTTTGGTTAATTTGTTAAACTAAATTTTTCTGTCCTTCTGTGTAAAATAGGTAAGAAAATGGTCAGATTGAAACTTTCCACCGAATATACAGATGTAGAAGATGAGTTCGAAGATTTCGACATGGAAGAAATGGAAGAGGACGAAGTAGAACTAAAGCATAAGCCGGGCAAGCAACTTCAGCGCGAGGCCGATTCCAGTTTCAAGCCACGTAAAATCTTATATGGCTACCGCATGCGCGAGAAAGACTGCAACTTCAAAATCCAAGGTACAACCGCACTGGAAGATCGTGCTGCCGCGCATGTGGACAAGATCAAGCCCTGCTTCTTCGCCAGTACTTTGGCTGTGTTGTATGCTATCCTGCGACCCCTCAATCAATGGTCCGCGCAGCGTGTGGATCGAGTAATCGAGAGTGGTAGAACTATCGCAAGTCGTGTTACGAATATGACGTCGGCCTTTGAGCGGTTTATCAAGAATGTCACTGTAGATGATTACAAATTCGATGTGTGGGTTAAGAGACATGATCCAGCCGGTGTGGCCAGTGCGAGTGTCTCCCGTAGGATTGCAAAGTCTATGCAAACTCGCAAGTATTTGCTGCTACAAGTTTCCAATACAACATTCGCACTCTTTCACGACGAATATTATCACTTATTCGATCCATATCCGACCATGCAGAAACCCCAAGAGGGCGAGGAGGAGGAAGAAGACGCAGATGGGGACTATGTCGAAAAGGAAGGTCTACGCAAAGGCAAATGTAAGAAAGGCGTGAAGAGATATGGTGAACGTAATACTGCCTCTTGGGTGCTCTTTGCCGATGTTAATTCCCTGCTGAAATATGTTGATAAACGCGCAGCGAATTCATCCTGGCAAACGGCGGAAGAGTATGCACTGCACGTTATTGATGTGATATCGTACAGAAAGGCGGGACCAAAGACACGCACACTGCAGTTGCTCACCGATTTGTCGGTACCGATTGAATGCAAGACAACGCAGCATGGCGAGGATGAGGCCGTTATGTGTGCTCATCCGGAAACTATGACTTGGTTAGATCTGGAGAATTGCTTGCCTGTCTGGAGCCGCATGAACCGTCGCAACACAGCAGGTCGCTACCGCAATTTGCCAGTAACGAAGTTGAAGCGATTCGATATAGAGATCGATGGTCGCCTGTGGTCAATTTGGGGCAACCTGCATCCCGATGCGCCAGTATTTAGTGTATCATCACGTGGAAAGCAATACCTTGCATGTAATGTTATGGCCTGTTGTGCTGCAAAGGTGTACAGACTGACCGATTGGAGTCCGCATTTACTCGATACGATAGTAATTAACGGCGATCGTTACCACCGCGAGAGCTTGGAAAATATAAAATTGTCCGACTACGAATTCTCGTTGGAGGATTTGAATCTGGATTGTACACTGGAGAGCCTCAGATTCGTTGTGCATCTGGAACATGTCGCTTTCGGAAAACTCTACAATCCAGGCACCCGCACCACGATGAATTTGGCCGATGCATTGATGTACTTTTTCACACACTTCCAATTTGGGGTGCTGCAGTGCTTTAAGCATTCCCTGGCTATTGGTCGCACGATGGGCTTCGACGGAGGCTTCTTTATGTACGATTGCCAAAGCAAAGATCATCCACTATTCCCGAAGGGACAAGGTGCTTCGTATTTGCTGCGTACCAAACATTTGCAGGTGCTGCTTTACTGCATCGTGGTGACGCTCAATGTACCTTATTATAATGTAAGTTTTACTCTGCACAAAGTGGAAATGCTGCGCGAGGACGCCTCTTTGGATGAAGAGGGTGAGGCCGGAAGTCAGAACACTGGTGGTAATTAAAGTATTGTAGTAAAATATTTATATCTATATTTTTAAATGCAAAATTATCGTTGCTATGAATTAATATTTGGTGTAAAATAAATTAATCGACGCAATAAATTACAAACATGCACTGTAATAAAGTCTAGTAAATACAATAAATAAATAGTTCCGATATACTATATTTTTCCCGAGTTGAGTTAATAAAACATAAATTACCATTTAGTAAGCAAATATGTAAATGTATACGAACTTTTTTATTAGTTTAAGAAAAATAAATGAATACACTGGGCCTAAATCTCGGCATTCGATATCGAATGTAACTCAAATCGAAATTTGATTTTGAGATCAAGGGCTTCGCCCGTTCAAATTGTATTGTGGCTGCCATTTTGTTTCATTATATACGAAGCGAGTAATCACTCGATCACGAATGCCGCGATTCGGGCCCAGTTTTGGTTTGAATTGAATGGAATAGCTACGAACGTAGCGTATACTTTGAATACACACGTTCGCAGCAATTGGGATTTAGTGATCGCATTGTCGTAGATTTTACGAAAAATCGGACTAAGGTTAAGAGGTCAGTTAAGTTGCAAGAATTTTTACATGGGTTACATGGTGTTGCCGTTGAGAATTTTCGGAAAGTCTCAAAAAAGGAGTCATTGATGAAAAAAAGGGTCACCATATTATTTTTGCTTTTCTTTACTAGTAGAAGGATAAATCTGTTGAATTAAAAAAAAAATAGCGGGATAAGCTTTACACATAAATCTAAGTTGTTGCTGCAAGGAGAAGACAGACATCTTTTATATAAATAGCTTTCAGCAACCACCATGCCATAGGTAAAAAAAACACTTTTTTAGTCGGTTGACCAGAGACCGTTCTATTCGAAAAAAACCTATTTTGGTCCGATTTGCCTAAAATTTGGTACGCAGCTTTTTGCCGAAATTAGCATATAGTATCATATTTTCCGGTGAGTGGTCCAGGGACCGATCTAATTAAAAAAAAAAACGTATTTATAGTCCGATTTCCTCGAAACTTCGTACGTAGGTAGCTTTTTGCTTAGACTAGCATATAGAATTCCCTTTTTCCGGTAAGTAGACCAGGGACCGATATATTCAAAAAAATCGTATTTATGGTGCGATTTTTAAAGTGTTAGTACCAAAAACAACGGAGCTACATGTCACAGGCTACCTGTTTTTGATACTCATGTTATAATATTTTTTGTTTCTTTTGTAAAATAAAAGTTTGTTGGTTAGGGCCTTTGGGAATTGCGATATAAACTTCTTCGGTAAGTGTGTTTGTGAGTGAACCCCTCCTAAATGCCCGGAACGATTTTAATGAATTTTTAAAGTGTTTGAGCGGGTCTCTGTATAATTGAGGTTCACAACCTGAAACACCAGGTGGCGCTGGAGTCGAGGTATTACTAAAAATCGTGTTTATTGACCGATGTAGCTCATATTCGAGATATACAGGGTGGGCCAAATAAGAACTACCAATGTTAAACACGTATAACTACATTATTTTTTAATATTGTTAATTATAGTTGATCTCTTCGAAAATGATAATGGATACTTATAGCAAGACCACCAACAACGACTACAATATGCTATTCGTTTTGCGCAATTCGCCACACAAATTGATTTTTTAGGTAATGTTTTGATGTCGCATGAAGCGTATTTCCAAGCAAAACTGTAGTTGTGGGGCTCTGAAAATCCAAGGGCGGCACACCAACACCAGTTACACCCATCCAGATGTCCTTTTTGACCTTATGACCTAAAAAGTTTTCGGCCCATATTTCTTCGAGAATGAGGATGAAACGCCAGAAACGATTTCTGGGGCTTCTTACAGAACAATGATTGACAACTTTTTGCGGCCAACGGCACAGCAGCATCCTAATTTGTGGTTCCAACAAGATAGAGTGACTGCGAACACTATTAGGCAAACTATGGACCTATGAACTATGAATGGTTGGTCTTATTTGGCCCACCCTGTACATTGGTAACGGTAGGGGCAATATGTATTATTGCACAGAAAGAGCTGCGAGGTAGCACTAGAGTCGAGTTATTGGTAAAAATCATCATGTGGAGTCACTCGGAGACACCAAGAATCAAAGTTAATTTACCACCGTTTAATCAACCACCAGAACCATTGCGGTCCTTGCTTTATAGCGACTAAACAGAATAAAGACAATTCTTGGTAAATGCCTACAAATATAATTGTATGACATCCAATGTATTTCGTCTGAAATAAGCCTATGAATGTATATTGGATTTCTGTGGACTTATGATACTCTCCCATTTTGAATTTGCTATCAACTGCACTATACAGATTGAAGGACGATTCACCATCGAACCAAATCATTGTTGCCACAAGAACTTCTTCACGGACATAACTCTCTCATTAGGTTATTTAAGACGGCAATGGAGGATATGCCGCGAAAAATTACAAACTAACATTTAGTGAACAGACCTCCTCTTTAATCGGACTTATGTATATATTTATATCGAATTTGCGGCAGGTACCAAAGACTAAAAGATATGACTGATTACTCAAATACAAATCAGCCTTGGGCTTTTAGGAATCGCTATGCTAAATTTCCATCGCTAAAAGTCACTAAATCGCACAAATGCCAGCTCACAGTACGCGTTTCTGAATGCTTTCCCCGAGGCCTTTTAATAGACTCGCATTTCATCCACATAACGTATGCGGAATGAAATACGGAAAATTTTGGGTATGCAGTTTTATAATAGATTGGCGCTTACACATATGTTAGTGTTTGGCCGAGCTTCTCCTCCAAATTGTGGCGTGCGCCTTGAAGTTGTCACACCAAGCGGAGGGACCTACAGTTTTCGCCGACTCCGAAAGCCGACTGTATTTTTATGAGAAACTGTTTTTCGTTGTTTCGTTTATTTTAAATCTTTTGGCATTAACCTTTGTTTTAGAATTACAGTTATTTTATTGCTAAATGGGAAGAAAATAAACAACAATCTTCCAATTAAAAAGAATATCACCTTTTTTGGCACTCTTATTTTCCTATTTGGCACATTTTGGCACTTTTTTTATCCTTAATATGGAACCTAATGGCCGAGGATAGTTGGCAGCCCTGGCTGTTGCTGTCTGCACCATAAACTCCGCCATACGAATTTGTATAATTGATCGCTATTAGCGATTTTAATCGGATCGCGCCACGCGAATCCCCTAGGCCATGAACCTGGACTAAATCAGGGACGGCTGAAAGGTAGCCAGCGGACATAGCTTTTTTAAAATCTCCCTGGAAAACAGATTCAGCTCTCAACTTCCTCTCCTGTTCTCAGAAAATACTATTCAATGAATCGATACTTGCGAGTAATGTACATACATTTAGCGTACTCTCCATTCACGAATTGGTACACGAGGAATGTAAAAATTTTAAGGTAGGGACAAGCTCCTAAAAGAATGGTCATAGCAAACCGCGGAGACAGCCAAAACTCCATTCGACAATGATTGAATCGATGTAAACAAGTTTCATAATTTTAATTGCACTTTTATTTAAACACATACCTAAAACAAGAAAATAATTAACAAATAAATATGTAAGTACTTATGTAACCTTGTTACAAAGCACCACAAGGCCCACTTTCAATGTCTCGCGCGGAAACGTCTTACATCGAGATTTGCGTTACTCAGTCCTTCACTGCTACCACCATTACGATAATGATAACCGTCATCGCTTAAGAAATGCGCTGGCATAGGCTCCGCTGCTGTTTGTACAGTGGGAGAGGCGGCGCTGCTCATCGATTGGAATTGAGCAAAAAACACGGGCGCATCATCGACACTTCCGGGCTGCGTCATCAGTTGATGGTGTCGTAGCACAAATTCGACTGGCGGCATTTGCTCTGGCTGTGGCGTTGGTTGAGATACCTGGTATTGCGGCTGGTAGTTAAGCTGTTGAGCTGCAGGCGACTGTGGTGGTAGATAGTAGCTAGCCGGCTCTTCGGCGAGCGCTGGTGGCGTTGGCTGATGAGCCGATTGCTCTTCAAACATTGCTGTGGCTTCTTTGGCAGATTCTTGTGCGGCTTCTGCTACATTTTCGGCTTCTCCAAATGGACTTAGATAATCGCGTGTCGGTTCCATTTGTGGCACAACTTCCATTGACGGCGAGGACATTTCTAATGTCGGTGGAGACATTTTTGATGTTGGCGGCAAATAACTGGATGCTGGCATTGCCTGAGATCTTTGCTCTAGTTCCATTTGCTGGTGCATTTGCATTTCATGTCTTTGAATTTGAGGAGCCAAGTATTGCCTCGGAGGCATTTCAAGCATCTGCTGGTGTGGTGGCAAGTAATGCACAGCTGGCGCTGATTGTTGCTGCAGTTGTTGCCCACTGCTGGGCATTGTTGGTGGTGGAGCCAAATATTGATTGTTGGGCATGGCCACTGAAGCCTCTCGAGATTCATGTTCTTGAATAGGCATTGACATTGGTGATAAATACTGTCTCGACGGAGCAGAAGATTCCTGGAGCGTCTCCTGTTGGTCATGAGCATTCACATCTGGAGCGAAATGATGATTACTATCGGCAGTTATTGAATTCATTTGTTGAGGTTCATCAGATGAAGTCATCGGTGGCGCCAAGTACTGACGCATTGGCATACTATTTTGTTGCCTTTGATTAGTTGACTCCGTGCTCTCCATGGGTGCCAAATATTGAGTGGCTGGTGCAACGATTGGCTGCTCTTCCTGATTACGTGATGGTGGTGGTGGTGGTGGTGGCAACAGTTCTCTCGGCATCATCATTTCCAACGGCAACTCCCCACTGTGTCCCTTTGCAGGCATGCCGCCGCCCTGATTGTTGCTGCTTGAACTGCTGGCTGCACCTATGCCGTAAGGCTGCTGCCCTGGTTGCAGATATTCTGTTTGAGTTGGCAATTCGCGCAGTTCCTGTTTCTCAATGGTGGTCACAATGCGTTCCTCCATACGGGTATTTGGTAACCTATCACTCGGCTGCATCATTGTTGCTCTAGCTGTGCTACTTGGCATCATCGTTTTTGGAGGTATGTAGTGTTTGGTCAAATGTGAGACATCTGCCATGGTTATGCCGAAGGCCGCGCAGGCTGCAAGCGCCAAAGTGGTAAAATGCTGTAAAAAATTCCATATTTAAAATATTTCAATAACTATTTGGTGCTCGTATTTAA